TTTTTCTTGCTGAGCCGGGAATGACCTTTTATCAAACCATCCGGGATTCGTTTTCTTTGCACCTTATGAGCCCGGATGGTCTCTGCTTAAAAAAGGACAGCTGGGACTTGGAGGTTGTCTGGTAGCACCAGGAACTGGTATATAGAAAATATGGTAGAGAGTGTGAGATTCCTGGCGGTTCTCGCTATTCTGCTGTCAGTCCCTCACTGTTAAAACGTTTATATAATAAGCAGTGGAGACTAGGAAAAGTGACATGTTAAACCAACATGTTCAAACAGTTAATGAGAAAAACTTTGCTAAGCCTCCCACCGTTTTGCAGTTAGAAATACTTTATTGCTCCATCCCTTAAATGCTATTTCATTATTTTTTAGGGTGCTATAAAAGGAAAGTTGCAGGAGCTGGGGGCTTATGTTGGTAAGTTTTATCACATGTTTAGCAATCTTCTTTAGGTTCAATATTGTTAGGTAGGAAACAACCAGCTAGTTAATGGAACAGCGTATTTACTTACTCGTGTTACTATATACGGAGGTCTTAAGCATGGGATGAATTATCTGAAGTGCTGGACTAGTATGAAAGAAAAAGGCTTACTTCACAAAATATGTATAGTCTAAGTGTAAGAGGAGGCAGTATGTGGACATTGTGACCTAAAAGGAAATAACTAAGAAGGCTAACAGTCTCCTCTTTCAAGGAGAAATGGTGGCAAGGGATTTGAAAGAAAAACAATCAATGTCTGTGAATATTTAAGGAAGTTTCTTTGAAGCGCAAGGAGAAACATTATATAAAGTGAGGTCCTTGCAAATATAACAGCAGTTACCTGTCACCACTCTGAGATGGAGTCAGTCTTTCTTAGGCATTTTTTCAACAGCCTTTTGAATTCAGGGTGAGGCATTTGTCAAAATTAGGAGAAAGGATATTACTGTAAGACAGAGATAGGCTAACTGTTATAGGAGGTGGAAAGGCCATGTCAGAAACATTATATAGGAGATGTAAGAGAGATATAGCAAAATGTAAGAGCTACGTTAAGCTAATGTTGATGAAACATATGTAACTGAATCTTGGAGGCAGGGTGAGATTTTATTTTGGATTGTGAGGAGAGAGAGATGAGCAGTGTGAATGTCTGTGTTTGTTTGGGTTTTTTTCCTGAATCCAGGATTAAATGGATATTGAACTTAAGAGCAGCTGTTTTTTACAGCAGTAAAAGTTGGTAACTTAACACAGCGTTCTGTTGGAAGCAGAATACCTCAGTCCTGCAACTGCCTTGTTGTCTGTGATACTTCTTGGATTTCAGGTGAAGGAAAGGAATTGAGAGCATAGTTCAGAGATCCCATGAGTTGCAGGACCAAGTTCAAAGTTTGTAGTTTGATTTTGAATTCATCTTATTTCCTATTTAAAGGGGGCTGTCATATTTATGGAATCAAAATGTATTGACTCCGTAGAAGAGAGTTACCTACAAGCTGACGTTCTGAACTTACCAAGTGCCAAGGAACCGTGTTTAGAATTTTTTCATTGTAAGGTCATCTTTTTTCACCTTCTCAAAAGTTGTCTTTTTCAGTAACTCGTTTTTGTTTTTTTTACTGTCATTCCAGTTTCAATTTCTCAGTCCTTGATTCTTTGTCTGCTTTTTCCTGCATTTCTGAAAAAAATCTTTCTTATCTCTAATACCAAGATACTGGTAGAATGCTAGTAATCTTTGATTCCAACTATGACTGATTATTCTTTCTCTGTTTTTCGTTTCTTTCTGTTTCCTGTATTCAGAAAGCAATTCCCAAGATCATTATAGGATGTCTGCACTTTCTTCTCAGTCAGCTTCTGAACTTCTTTAAATAACTTTGTATTCTTTATTGCCAAGTCTGACTTCCCTTGGCCTCCTTTTTATTTTTAAACCACTATTTCCAAATTTCTGTCGTTTTCAGGTTTCTTTTCTTGAGTATTTTGGACAACTTTCCAAGTAATGTTTTTCAAAAACTCTCTATGTCTTCTTTTAGGTAACTGGTAAAAATCAGTTCTCCCTCATTCTAGCCTCTGTGAGCAAGAACCGTGCTTTTGTTTCTTTCTGTAACTGCTAGTTCTTTTCTTTTGAAAAGTCTTATACAACAAGACATGTTGAAACTTACTTGTTGGGTAGAACTTACAAAGGAAAAATTCATATCTGTGAAGCAAAATAAAGATAGTTAAATATTCATCAACTATCAAAATTTTCAAAAGGCTACAGTTTTGCATACAATTTAAGTTGGCATAAGCCAGCACAGTCACTGAGAGAAGTAGTTGTTTTCTTTCTTTCTTTCTTCTATCGTACTGTTACAGGTAATTGTGCTAACTTATGTTTTGATTTATACTTAAAGTATCTTTTTCTTTGCTTTATCCTGTGTTGAATGTTGAATCACCTGAGGAGCAGATGAGGTTTAAAAGTAGCTTGGCCAAAAAATAAAATTCGTTCTAAGTTCCTAGATCTGGTATCCATCCATCTTGTGCAACTTGTAGTTTACATTAAAAAAAAACCCACCAAAAAAAGTTAGGGTTTAGGCTAGGAACGTGTTGTGTTGGAATACTTGAATAGTGATAGTGAAGTGCAGGTGCAATGTATGAATGTTATTTCTGTAGTCTAGGGTACAGATTAATTATTTACAGGGTACATAGAGAGACATAGAAGAAAGGCAATTCCTTTGATTTGTATTTTGATTTCTATTTAAGATTTCTCATTTTTCAGGTCTTGTTAATGTTGTGTAAAGGCTTAACTTGATGAAATGAGTACAGCTATATTAGTGCCTTGGTTCAAATTCACAATTTGAAGTGGATTTCCCAACTATCTTCACTTACTATTGTTATGTTCATGTCATGGAGTGGTATAGGAGAGCATGAGGTGGTTGATTAAACTAAATTGAAATATGTGCTCAAAAAGCATACCTAATGCCCTCAAGCAACAAATGCACCATTCTGTCCTTCAGAACAGATCAGAGCTAGGCCAAAGTAAAAAGCCAAATACCAAACTCCCCAAAGCCTGAATGTATTAATTCTGAGCACCTTCCTATCCATTCTGATGAGTAGGCGTATGCTGTGTGAACAGTCCAGCAGGGGAATGGATTTCTCACTGTGTATGAAATTGCATACGTTAGGGAGTTGGAGAATAAGACTCTTGGGGTTGCTGTTTTTGTTTTGGTTTTTTTTAAAGGCCTGATATTCGTTGTTTTTGTAGATGGAAAATCTGGAAGTTAATACAGTTTTGATTTGTTTAATGCACAAATCGGAAAGGGATATTTATCTGTTTGGTCTTCGTAACTAAAGGAAATTTGACAAGGATAAGGTGCTATATTTGGCAATATTTGAAGTGATAAGAATTGTAGATGGTTGTTACTGTTCAAGTAGAAGGATATAAGCAGCAGAGTGGCTTTCTTTTATCTTGTCCTTTTTGTGTTTTATGTACTCACTTTTTAAATACTGTTGTCTTCAGCTTATGCTGAAGTTGATGATCTTGTGAAGTTGATGATCTTTTATTCCTCAGTCATAGCTGAAACTTGTATTGAACCTCAAAGGAAATGCAAGTCTTTTTAATTTGCTTACCTAATCCTCTGTCTGCAGAGTCTTTATAGTAAAACTGGAAAAAAAAATCTGGTGAGATGTTTAAGGATGTTTGCTATATCTTTTATGATTTATTATACTTTAAAACAACATATTTCTCTTTCTATTAGATGAAGAGCTCCCTGATTATATTATGGTTATGGTGGCCAATAAGAAGAGTCAGGAGCAGATGACAGAAGACCTTTCCCTTTTCCTTGGAAACAATACTGTCAGGTTTACTGTCTGGTATGTTTGTAAGCTACTACACTTCTTACCAGTAATCAGGACTGCTTTCTGTAAGTGAAACCTGAGAATTTAAGAAATTACTTATCTTCCCATTGTGTAATTTACATTAATCAAAAATTTTACTTTGTAGCTGTAATGAGTAAACTATTTTTAGTCTGTCAAGAGTTAGGCTATTGCACTGACAATTAAGTGGCAAAGGACTGGAGGGCTTATATTCTTTGTTTGCTCATAAGTCCAGTCAAATTTTTGAATGAAGTGTGAAATGCTCAGGTAAGTGAGGGCCATATGTTGAGGTAAAAAAATTATTCCTGCAAAACCCACTGTGAGCATGAGAGCGTTATTCACTGTAGTTATATGTAAAATAGTTATTCAAAGACAAAATTCTTTGCTTTTATGCTAATAGTGCTTCAAATTGCTGTTGTGCATGGGAATTACTATATCAGGACAGATGAGCACTGGATCTAATTCTGTATACTGTCTTTGACAAGGCTTAGCACCAAATGCTTAGGTATTCCCACCTCTCAGGCTGTTTATTTATTACCACCACCCAGCTCTACAAAACAAAAGTAGAACCCCAGAATTATTGTAAACGGGACAAATTAGCAATAGATGAACTCTTTTCTAAACTCCTGACAGTGTGGATTAATTTATGCTATGCTGCATGACAGCCGTTACAATATTTCTCATGCATTTTCTAATACTGAATTTGACTTACAGTGTAAGTCTTTAATTAACTCCGTGTTTCAGAGTATCCAAACAGATATTTCACTTCAGAGGTTTTTCTTGCTTTCAGAGTTGTGTATTTTTTCAAGTTAATCTTATTTCTGAGTCTCTAACTTAATACAGTTTTAACGAATGTTATTTTGTTTTGTATAGATTAGAGAAATACTACATTTTTTGCTGCTTTTCCAGTTTGCTTCCTTTGAAATTTTCATACTGACTGGTTACATTCGCTTCTGGTATTTCTTCTACATGATTAGTAAAGTTCCTCTTTATTTGGTTAGGAGCTTTTATGCTATTAAATAGCAGAGAGAAACGTTTTAGAAGTTGGGTATGTTATGAAACCACAAACATTGATAAAAAGTGAAAATTAGTTCCAGCTATTACAATTCACTATATTAACTATTTAAACTGATTGATTCAGTGACAGTGTTACTTGTATGGATATAATTTGAGTTTGCTTTCAAATTTTTCAGTTTTTTTCCTGGCATTTCTCAAAAATAGAAGAAAGGAGTGCAATTAGGCATGTGCCTCTTTTTTTAAAAGTATACAGGCATTTATGTTCTTTGTTCCCCTTTGTGGCCTGCCTAGGCAAGTTTTTGGGTTTCACTATATCAGTAAGTCATGCCGTTGTCTTTCTCATAGTAGTTTTGGGAATCAGTTAGACAAATTAGCAAGGTTTACAAGTTGATGAGGGTAACTCCAGTACTAGGGTTTTGACTGAATCCTGATATACAGTAAGAAATAATACAATAATATGTAGCAGAAAACACTTTTATGGCTTTGTAAATGAAACTAAAACTTTACTGAGAAAAATAATAAAAATGTAGAGAAAGCAAATTTCAACAGGGAAGAGAAATCAAGATTTTTTTTTTTTTTTTAAATATATATTTAGAACTGGGTATCAACTATATGTAGATATTATACGTCCTGCTGGTTTTGACACCTGCTTAAACTCCAGATGTAATGAGTCTTTTATTCTCAATTCACATTTACTTATAAATACAAATTTAGTTTCAGAGTGCTTCATCAGGTAACGAAGTAGGTATTGGTTAAAAGAATGATGGAGAAAAAGACAAGATGAACCCCATGGAATAAGCTGTAAGAGGACTGTGGAAAAAAGTTAAATAGCAATGTAGTTGGGCGTTTTATATGCTTTTATTTCTTTTAAAGATGACTCAGAATGTTTACATTCTTAAACATTGGGTCTCTGGCTAAGTACAGTACTCAACAAGGTCTGCTTTCCTTGATTTGTCTCTGTAGTTGGTAATTCGGGGTCATCTAGCAAAAGTTTCACAGTAATTCTGTGGCAGACCTGGAAATCGTGCTGGCTGGCCAACACTTCTTACTCTGAACCAAGTGTCAGGTCACAGTTATCTGGAGGTCAGTGTGAAAACTGATATGCACCAGCAGAGCTCAGTTAACGAAACTTTTAAGAGTGTTCTAGTGAAACCTCACAAGGAGGTTTGAGAAGCCTTCCTTATACTCACATGCAGTCTTACTTTTCCCAATGTTCAATGTTTTTGTTCCTTAGCTCCTTTCTAATACTCAGTCTAAATTATGGAGATGCCCATGATCAAGTTTGAATTCCAAGTAGGATATGCATTTAAGTGTCGGGATTTTTTTTTCTTTTTTTTTTTCTTTTCTTTCTTTTCACTGTCATGTGTGTTTATTTTTAAACAGCATTATTTTATAGCCTTTCGATTTTCTGTATTGCTTCAGCTTGGTGCCTTTTTCACAGGCAAATGGTACCTCGCTGAAATGTTTTTGCTCACCAACATGTCTCAAAGAATATTGTTGGTATACACAAAGCATGCTGGAAGAATCCTGAGTATGTTAAGTGCTATGAATTCTATATTGTTTAGGTTTGTATTTACAATTATGTTTAACTTTGCTGTGTAATTAAAGTTTCATATACGAAGTAAAATTTTCAGCTATACTTCAGGCTTCTAACTTAGGTCTTTTGAATCACTCCTTTTGAAGACACTTAACTCACACCATTGATTGTAGTGAAACAGTGGAAAGTACTGGCTTTAATTATGTAAACCAATTAAATGCTAAAAGTAGATGATGTGATGAGTACCCTACCTGCATGTATGAAGACTCACTGGAGGCAAGATACTTAAAGTCTCCCTTTTGAGGTTAAACATACATCAGCTGATGGAAAGTAAAGTCTTAAATAAATGGGATGCTTGTTGGGGGATGGGTGGGGAGGAAGGCAGTTGGTTTCTGAACGATTGTTATTCTGAATGTAAGTTAAATTTCTTTTATTTCTCCTTTTTCTCTTTTGCTTCCTTCCCTGTTCCCCATCTGTTTCAGGCTCCATGGTGTTTTGGATAAGCTGCGATCTGTGACTACTGGTAAGTAAGAAAATTAATTTTGAGTGAAAGTAGGTTTATCTTTTCTGTGTAGTGTTGCATGTCTAATGGTTTTCAAAAAAGATCTTAGCTGACTGTTTTGTTAATTTTCAGTGTATATGGTCTTTTGGGTCCTGACTCTTTAGAAAATTGCTTTATATTTTGAGATAAAGAATTTATTTCTGAGTCCAGAATTTATTTCTGGGTGTTTCTTGCTGATGTTTTCAGCTGAAACAGCTTTCAGCTTGTTGTGTTTTCAGATCTGCGCAATGTCTTGTTTGCAGTTTCTTAGCTACATTTACTGCAAAATCGGTATTGCTGTGCTTTGATGTAAAAATGAAAGGTACCTGTCTCCACAGAACCAACTAGTGTAAAATCTTCAGAATCTAATATCTTTGAGAGCAACCTTCCTTCCAGCAAAAGCAGTTCATGTGTGAGTGATGAGAGGAGGCGTGAGGATATCTTGCCACCTCTTGCAGTTTCCAGCACTCGGACTGAACGAAATGACTCAAGAGTTTCAACTAGCTCACAGGAACAAAGGAACACTGCTTCACGGTAAAGCTTCTGGTTACTTGCTAACACACATTCAGACATTAGTAGTTGTGTGACTGTAGTAGTCATTCTGAAGAACACAGATGCTTGGAAAGATCGAAGTTGCTTTGAAGAGTAAAGCATTGTTAACGATTTGTTGCATAAAAAGTGTTAAATCAGGAATTCAGTTCCATTTCTTTAAGCAACAGATGGGCTTAGATTAATTAACCAAACTAAAAATAGCGATCAGTGTGTTAGATTTGTATAAAAAATAATACCTTAATGATTCTTCCCTGCTGTCTTTGTTTAAAAGACAGTTCTCATTTTCTAGAACTTTATTTGCAGATGAGTTAATGGTTGGCAATTTCTTATTTTATCAGGCAGTCTTGTGAAGATGGTTCTGCATCCCGCTTAACATCTACAGTCAAGCCTTTGAGGGAATTGTCACCTTCTGAAGCTGTGATTGACATTAAACCTGAACCAGATGATCTAATTGATGAAGACCTAAACTTCGTGCAGGAGAATCCTTTGTCGCGAAAGAAACCTATTGTAACTGTAACTTATGGTTCTTCTCGTCCTTCTGCTGAAATCTACCGACCACCAGCTAGCAGGAGTGCAGATGGCAATATGCAAGTGCACAGATTGTCACAGCAGGGCAACTTACAGGGGAGCCGGCAGTTAGACACGCAAAGCTGCAGGTCTTTGGAAACAGGCCAGCTGTGCAATCCAGAAGCATTTGGCAGCTTAGCAGAGAGTTACAGACCCACCTCCAAACTTAGTGCCGATAAAGTAGGCAATGAGGTTAGTACAATCTAAATTATTGCAGTATTTTACAGTTGCTACGAACCTAAATTGCTATGTACACTTCCAGTAAAATCTTGACCTCAGAGAAATCGAAGGAACTCTGTCACTGATAGCAGTCGGATTGGGATTTCATTCTTTGGGTCCTCTGCTAAAAAGAGATTGCATAGTTCAACATTATCACCTGACAGGTTGCTGCATCTCAGAGTTAATTAGCTTGTACATCTTCATGCCGTATTGAGTTGGACTAGGGGGTTAGCACATTGTCATGATGCACATGATGAATCAGAAATAATAATTTTGATCTCTAGATCACTGGAACAGATGATCTTCCATAAGTGCTATGTAAATCTCCAGTGCTGTGAATCTGTATTTTTTGGATGCTGTTTATTCATACCTATGCTAGATATACATTAGTCTCTAAAGCCCAGATATGTTGCTTATTAGGATTATCATTATTACACTATTTAGAACCATGGCATTTAAGAACTCTTTGGGATGGGTGTTGTACAAGGACAAACTAAAAGGTGATTGCTGCCCCACATACTTGGGAGGCCAGACTAAGCCAGGCAGGGTGATAGCCCTGGCTGATAGTTTTAAGACTATCCATATGAATCAGTTAAGAGCCCTGTGTGAGAGGAGTGAAGATAGTTATGGCTGCTAATGTTGTAATGAAGTAGAAATTTTACATACCTTGTATTCCAAGTGCATCTGTGTTTGGTTTTGCTTATATAGTTCTCTGTCTTTGCTACTACTTACTTAGTTCCGTATAAAGGATAATGAATTTTATTTGGAAATCTAGAATGCTTTACAAAGATACGTGCTGATGTCTTTGTTTTTTAAGATGAGGAATTGAGAATGAGAATATAGTGATTTGTTTAAGGCTGTACGTAAGTTATTGATGAATGAAGTCACATCTCTCCTTGGAAATATTAGAAAAAGGTCTTGTGATAATTTTCTTCTATATCATAAATAATGTCCAGAAGAGGGCTATTTCAGGACTGTTTCTTAGAACTGTGGACCTTTCCTGTATTCTGCCTTCTCTTAGACAAGTCCTTGTGCTTTCGGAACTTTTACCTTGAAAAAGGTCATTTCTGTAGGTATTGGGTTTTTTACTGTATGAAAAAACTTCTGTATCGGTGTAGTCCAGGTCCATCCCTTAGGATATTTCTTTCTCCTTGGAGGATATAGGATTATTTAAAGGGTACCGTGTACAAACCTGGCATCCAGATGCCTCATTGCGCTCCTGTGTAGTTCAGTGCTGAGTGATGGTTCCTACAGCAGTTACTGATGTGTGCTTTCTCCTACGCTTTCAGGCAGCCTTGCATTTCAATTTGGAACTATCACATGCATTGTGGTGGAGGCAAGTGGCTGTGTCAGAACAGGGACCTTGCACTGACTAAACTGGACCATCCTGGCTCTGCATAGCTAATACCATCCTTTGGAATATGCAGCTTGCTAGAAATTAATTCTTACGCTAATCTGAAATTAGAGTTGATACAGAGGAGAAAGTAATTCGTACTGATTTCACTTTTCTCTATCAGACTTTCAACAGGTGCATCTTGAAGGGTAGTATGAATTTCTTTGGGAAACGCTGTTTTTTCTGTCGATGTTGGATAAATTGACTTTACTTTAGACTTTTTTCTTCTCCTTTTCTAAATGTTATTTACAGTTACATTTTTAATGAGGTGTTTCAGTGTAAAAACGTCTTTCACATTCTGTAGTGCTGTCACTTGTTTCTGCAGACAGTACAGTACTCCTAGACTTACGCAACTTGAATGGAAGTTCTCCATCTTCTGGCTATAGGTATAATTGCAATATTTTCTTTGCTGGCTTATTAATACATGTTTTATGCTAAATGAATTGTTTGGCTGCTCTGTTCATTGTAGGAAGAAAGCTCCAGGAAGAGACGGTTGCCTGTTGTAAGCTCAGTAGTCAAAGTGAAAAAGTTCTGTAATGATGGGGAAGATGAGGAGGAGGAGGAAGACTATGGATTGCGAACAGGAAGCATCTCCAGCAGTGTGTCTGTACCTGCAAAGCCAGAAAGAAGGTATTTAAGATCTCAGTGATTCTGTGTGGTTTCCAGAATAAATTTAATGAACAAAAACTTTGAAAGTGGAAGTTGGGGAAAACTGTTTGCAGTTTTGAAAATTGCCAGACAAAATTCAGAAAGCCATTTTTATATTTTTTTGTACTATCTCACAACTGTGTGGGTGAGATGTCTGTTTACACCACCTTTTTTCCTCTGATTTTGTAACCTGTTTTTATTATTGTGCATAAGCTGCAACGGAATGTGAAGTTTTACACTATTTAGAAAAAGTTTGCTGGCAAAAGAACATTAATGTTGGCATGTTTCAGACCAGTTATTTAATGTGGTAAAATAATTGTCCAGGAGTTTTTAATTGCTTTGTTTTTATTTCGGGAATAGTTTTCAAACCAATTATCACTTGTTCTTTAAGGTGATTTTAACTTTTCAAAAGACTTGAGAGGTTTTTCCTTTTTTTTCTGCTCCCTAATTCTGTCTGAATGTCAGGTGTCAGTCAGAGTACATCAATGGTTTGTATCTGATTTTCACCAATAAAAGGAAGAACATTTAAACTATGGAAGAGATGGTTCTACAGTGCAAGCTGATATAAGATTTGTTTTAAGCTAATACACTTTATTGAATTTATCTCCAGCGCCACAGCACATTTATCTGATTTAAACTTCCTTGTTGTTGATGTTCAAAAACAAACAGAAAGCTTTTTTTACAACTAATATGTTCTTGATAGAGTCAGTTTTCAGCTGGATCTTACTCCTGGGGGCAGCTGCATAATTACTAGTGCCAACACAAATGTAGCAACAAGCGTGTGAGGGGCAGAGGTGGGAGGAAATGAATGGCAGAGTTTGTGCCTTTCAGATGCAGCAGCTTAAGCTGAGAGGTGAAATCATGCCTCTGGACTTCCATTTTTGAGAGCATTTTGTGGATCCTCGTCCACTCAGAGAATAGACTAGCAAGCTGAAAACAAATACAGATAAAGTGAGTTTAGATGATGATTTTTTTTCTGTCAGTATTATGCATAACTGTGTTAACCTGTTGAAATATCTGTTTAACATAGATACAGTTGCTGTTGCAATTCGTGTACAGTTGTTTTTTTAATCTCCCTTAGACCTTCATTGCCACCTTCAAAACAGGCCAATAAGAATTTAATACTGAAAGCAATCTCTGAAGCACAGGAATCGGTTACAAAAACAACCAACTATTCTGCTGGTAATTATCATTATTTTTGTTTGTGCTAAGCTATAATATTTCCAAGACCTGTTTTATAAATCTGAGCTAAAGATAGCACTTAAAGATAAAACAGAATGTTAAATAGCTCATGTCAGTGATACACATAAGGGATTTTCTATGTCCTGTGAACATTACATTAATCTTCAGTAATGAATTACGAAAGCATAAACAAGAGAGGACAGTTGTTTAAAATATATTAATCAAGACAGTAAGTCTATAAAGTGTATAGAGACAAAATGGAAGTGCCAGAAGTTTTCTGAAGTTAATAGTTGCCAAGGAGAAAGTGTTTAGTATTAGGCAGGTTGTTTGATCTAACTGGTTGCTCTTTTTTCCGTTTCTGCACTCTCTTCCTTCCTTCTGAGAGACGACGAGAAAAAACCCAAACAGCAAAAAATCAAAATGCACTGGGTATAGATAATAGAAGTGCAAAATAACAAACGACATACCGATTGATATATCGGCATATATTGTCTTTAAACAATGAGGCTGCAATTTTAGTTCAGTGGTTTTAGGTATTGAGTTGCGGTTGATACAGCAACTGAGCAGTTTCCTATGTGTAGGCATTCAGTTCTCCTAGCTAGGAGAGACTTCTGCTGAAGAAGGGCAAATCCAGCTGTTGTCTCATGTGCTTTCATTTCATTGGGTGGTAATAAATCTAGTGTTGAAAAATGCCAGGGAAGGAACATTCACTAAACTACCTAAACGATGACTTTTATGCCATCTGGAGCAAGGCTGAAAGCTGTCCAAAATCTCTTGCCAGCTCTCTCTCGAAACTTTCCTTCTATGTTAACATATTAAGCAAAATGGTCATTGTGAACTTCTTCCCTGATTTCTTGTTATTACTTGTATTGTCAAGGTTGCACAGGTGCTGACCTTTAGTAGATCTAAAGGCACAAGATGTGCGTGGAGTTTTCTGTGTTCAAAGGCTCTTGAATTGCAGGAGATGTCCATGCATGTTAGAAGTGGAATATAAAGTGAGCTGGTTTTAAAACAGACTAAATCGTATGGCTGACTAATAAAGATTGTTGCCAAACTTAAAATTGAAGAAAAATTAACTAAGAATAGTTCTAGTAAATTATTGAATTGCTTGACTACTTACAAAATATATTTCATACAGTAAATGAAGTTCTAAAAGAAAATTATGCTGCTTCATTAATAGCAAATAATGTAAGTGCCTCTCAAGCATTGTCTTCATTCTAGATGGTAAGCAGAAAGAGCAGTTTGTTAAGAAAAGAGGTAGGAGCACTGATACTCCTAAGTTCTGATGCCAGTTATCCAGTAAGGAGTGTTTATGGTGGAAAAAGCAGCAACACAGGGAACAGTACTTTGAGGTGATGCAGGAAGCTCTTTTCCTGTGTATGTAGCAATATGGCAGGAAATAAAACATAGCCAGAAAATTTTAAAATTAATTAAAACTATTCATTTTTAATAGTGGTGGTCTTGTAGTATGGCTTACCAACATGAGAATATTTCAGTGGAGAGACCAAAAAGCACCACTTTGTGGTTTAATAGAGGTGATTTGTGAATTTTATCTGAAGTATTGTGCAGGTTCTTCCACTTCAGAGGTATTAATTCATGTATTTTTTTAAGTATTTTGAATGGAATATGGAAATAAGGTACTTTGAAATACATAGGTAAAACAAAATGGTAAGATCATAAATGATAAATCCAGTACTGAGCGGTACCATTTAGCTGTATGTGTCAGAAGTTGAGTGCTGATGTGCTATTCAGCCAAGGGAAGAATATGCTTAGCTTTTCACAACCAGTTCTGACGGTCTTAGCAGAAGCCAAGAAGTCAACCTGTCGTCCTGTTACCCCCAAATTCCATGCTACAACTACCTGAAAGGAGGCCTACAACCATCTAAAAGAGGTTGTAGCGGGGTGGGTCTCAGTCTCTTTTCCCAAGTAACAAGTGATAGGACAAGATGAAACGGCCTCAAGTTGTGCCAGGGGAGGTTTAGATTGGATATTAGGAAATACTTCTTCACCGAAAGGGTTGTCAGGCATTGGAACAGGCTGTCCAGGGAAGTGGTTGAGTCACCATCCCTGGAGGTATTTTAAAGACGTGCAGATGTGACATTTAGGGGCATTGTTTAGTGGTGGACTTGACAGTGTTAGGTTTTGGACTTGATGATCTTAAAGGTCTTTTCCAACCTAAATGATTCTATGATTCTACTGTAAAGTTTTATATTCTATTTGGAAGCACCTTAGCATAGGGTAGCTGGCACCGTATGAAAAGTACTCATTGATAAACCATGATTGTTTATATAAAAGGAGGAATGAAAAGTGATTTCGGTACCGTAAGAAAGTACCAAATGAATTATGTGTAGAAGTGGATGAATGCTTTGCTGATGTCACTCTAATCCTTCTCATGCTGTTTTTTCTTACAAGTAGATGTTCTGAGGTGCCACTCAGAGTGCTCTATGCACATGCACGAATGTGCTTTCACACTAAGAATTTTACAGGTAGCTGAAGATGATTTTTGTGGAGACAGATGCTTGGGATTTTTTTGTTTGTGTGTAGGAATTTATTAGAGTTATTTTAGCACCATATGTAAAAATAATACTGTTGTGTGATTGGGTTGTATGTAAATGATTTACCATTGCCTCTTTCTTTAAAGTTCCACAGAAACAGACTGTTCCAGTTGCACCAAGAACTCGAATTAGCCCAGAAGAATCTCAGTTAGAAGTAATCCATGTGCAAAACAGACTGCCTGCTCTGAGTTCTCAGCTTCAAGTAGAAGAGCCAAAGGAGCAGACAGCTGAAGGAATTCAAGGTCATTTGATAATGTTCTTTAAAAATTTTTACCAGGGAATGTCATTTTACAACAGACTGAGCAGAGGAAAGAAATGCTTTTAATTTTTAAGTCAGCATAAAAGTTGCATGTGGCAGTGCCCTGAAAACCAAGAAGCTTTCTAAAGCATGGTTGTAAGATAGAGAGAGAGAGAGAGATATATATACACACACACACATATATATAGATAACCTCAGAGGAATTAATCAGTAAGCAAAGGGTAGTATAGTATTCTGGCGTATCACTGAAGAATAATTTTGCATAAGGAAATGCAATAAGCAAATGTATGCATTTGTATTGGGATAACTTCTCTTTTCCCCATCCTTTGCATTTTTTTCCTTAATATCTTGTAGGAGTAATTCTGTCACAAAGCTTATGTGAGAGATTTAAGGTACTCTACATTTGGAATAATTTTGCAGCATACGAAGTATTAAAAGATTCTTTCCGACATATTGTTTCCACACAAATAGTTCTAGTGGCTTTTCTTGTGTGTGTGTAAGTATTGGAGTACTATATTTGCTGTTACAGGACAGCCGATACCAGGGTAACTGTGTGAACAGTAAGCTTTGTTTTTACTTCTGTTATGAAACTCCTGAAGGAAAATGACATAACATTTAAAGGCAATCAGTATCTTTTCAGCGTGATTTTGTTACAAAGAAAGAAATGTGTGTCTGTCTGTCTGTGTTAGTTACAAGGAATCATAAAAGTAAGACTGTGGAAAAACACTTCTGTAAGAAGTGCTTACTCTTGCTGTGTTTAGATACTAAGGTTGTTGAGTAAAATTTGGTTTGAGTAATATCTTTGTTACATCAGCTCACAGTCATTGTTAAGGAATGGTAAACATTCGTTATTAAAAAAAAAAAAAATCTATTTTTTAGTCTCTTATTTCTCATATAGATATGTTTGGAATCTTTCCGCCAACATAAAATAGTTGAAATTGTATCTGTAAAGTATGTAAGGAGAAGCTTTATCAGTCTTTGAATTATGCTAAATACTTTTGCTCTTTTGCCATTGAAATGGAAATGACAGCTTGCGTAGGAAACCTACAGAAAGCAAAATAAATTTTTTCAAACCATAAGTCAAATGTAGGACAGTGCTACTGTGGTTTGTTTCACCTCTTTTAAGAATACTATAAAGTAGTCCCATGTAGTTAGCTGCTTTCCTCTGTGTGTGTGTGTGTTCTGTGAATAGTCAACACCTCTACAAATGAGGAGGAAGAACTTGGTCTTTGTAAGTTGCCATACCCACTGACCTAGTTTGTACTGAGCAATGATTATGGGAAAGACTAGAGTCTTTCAGTATTTAGATTTTGCCGTGCCATCTGGCTGGAGAAAACTTGTTACTGTTTCTGAAACAATGAGAATGGCTTCTTTTTGTTAGAAATGTGGAGGGGTTTGTTGTCTTTTTTTTTTTTTTTAATCAAAGGAATTAGAAGAGTATGCTTCAGGTCTTTTAATCTATAGTTTCATTTTGACATGCAGTAAAGTATGCTTTTAATTACTGGTTTTTTTAGGAGCTGAACAAAAGGAGCTCTCTTCTCGGCTCCAGATTGATCCTGTGATTGAAGATACCTTGCAAGTGACTCAAGGTTAAGTCTTGTGATCTTTTATTCCTAAATAAAAAATGCTAGTTTTCAAATTGAACACTACTGGTCAGTGAATGTTAAAAAATAACTTCCTTTTCAATTAATTATACTGATTTCTAGTATTTTCTACATCTCTAAGGAATAAAAGCGTTACATCAGTAGGTGTTCAAAGCCTAAGAGATTTTGGGGGTGTTTGACTCCCTTCAATGCTGTTTCAGCATAGCCATACCAGTAACAAAGTTTCCTGGTCTGGCCTAATATAGCCTATGGCTCCTGTTGATCCACTTCTGTAGAATAAGCAAGGAAGTAAAAATGTTTTCTGGAAGCTACTAGTAAGAAATTAAAACAAAATAAAATTAGTTTATCAGCCATGTAAATTGGTATTTTAAAATATGCTATAAGAATACAACTACAACCTTATTTTTCTGCTTTCCATGTAATTTTTCTCCCAATTCAGATTACTACGATGCAGAATCTATGGTCCATACAGATACTAGGTCATTTATCCTGAAGAAGCCCAAGTTATCTGAGGAAATAGTGCCACAGAATCAGCAATTGGGAAAGAGGGCTACAGAGGCAATACGAGTACTCTCAGGACGTCTGATACAGACACGGTAAAAAGTTATTACTTTTAGGACTGTTACTAGTCAGAATGCTTGTTTGTGGTTTAGATGGAATCATTCAGTCATACTTGTGCTTTGTCAGTCCAGTCAGGATCTGTGACATCATGGAAAATGGACTGACATTGAACAGCAGAGGAAAAAAAGCAGGAGCAAAAAGCCTCCCAGAAAGCCTTCTAAATGGAAGATAATTCCCAGGGTCAAGTGTAGCTTGAGCATGTCTTTGATTTGCAAGAAAGAAGAAGGAGGAACTGAAAAGTACTGCTCTTTTTTGTCATAGCTGTTCTGGAGTTAAATCCAGTTGGCGGCTGGTCA